ATTTACTTGAGAGAGAGCATGTGCTTTCATGCACACATGCACGGATGGCGGAAGATTGGGGCAGAGGGAGAAGGAAAAGCTAATAACTCCCCGCTGAGCAGGGAGCCCGACATGGTCTCGATCCTAGGACCCTGAAATCATGACCTGAACCGAAGGCAGACGCTTAACTGACTGAGGAGCCACCCAGGTGCCCCTCAGGCATCTATGTTCTTAAGCACTATGTTATGTGGCCTCTAAAGGACATAAACTAAAAATGAAAAGACTATGCAGTCTATTAAACTGGAAGGGGAAAGTGGAGTGATGTTCAAGAGAGATCTCAAGTCAAGTGTATTGCATATTCTCTTCTTTCTTGGTTTACTTCCTTCTTTGGATAGAGTAAATACTTCATCAGCTTCCTGAAAGAAGATGCATAAGATGTAAATTTTTGAGACCTGCATATCTGCAAATATCTTTATTCTTCCCTCACAGTTACTTAATAGTTTACTTGGGTATGAAGTTCTAGTTTGGAAATATCCCCTCAGAATTTTGGAGGCACTGCTTCTTTTTCTTTTGGTTTCTAACATTGCTGTTGAAAAATCCGCCATTTTGATTCTTCTGCGTTTAAGTTTGTTCTTTACCTTTTGGAAGTCTTGAGGATGTTCCTCTGTCCTCATTTTTCTTAATTTTACAGTGATGTGTCTTGAGGTATTTCATTGTCTTTTTTTTTTTTTTTTAAGATTTTATTTATTTATTTGAGAGACAGCAAGAGAGAAAGCACGTACATGACTGGGAGGGGGCAGGGGGCAGAGGGGGAGGATCTCAAGCAGACTCTGATGTGGGGCTCCATCTCACAACCCTGCGATCATGACCTGACCCAAAACCAAGAGTCAGACACAACTGAGCCACCCAGGCGCCCCAGGGGTATTTCATTGTCTTCTTTTGTGTTGAGCACATTGTCATTTAATACACATTTGTTGCAGTGGAAAAGATTAAATCAAAACTTGCTTCATTCCTTCATTCTCTAGTTTATTATCATCTAAACTCTAAGGGGATCTCAATGCTGTCTCCTCTCATTTGATCCCTGGGAAGGGGGCAGAGGACCAATGTGGGTTAAGCCTGGAGTAGGCTCTAGCCAGTCATAAGAGACAGAATTTTTTTGTGTCCACAAAATTTTTGTGTTACATGCACCAGTAACCAGTCTCAGGGGAGGACTCCAAACATTTCTACCCATTGCATCTTGGTTTTGGAGTCACTAAGGTAAATACAATGCTGTCAAACACTGGACGGACAACACTTTACTTACACAGAGAAGAGAAAGAGCAGGATCAGTTTCAGTAGTGGTGTCAGTCCCCGATGGTCAGTGGGTCTCTCCTGGCCACTGACACAAGGCAACTGGCCTATGTGCCACATCCCTCTCATGCTGCAGTGGAAGCAACCTGGCCCCTCTCCTCAGGGGACAAATATAACAGTGGGTTGACCAAGTGACATATAATGTACATACTTGAAGCACAGACAAGAGTAGTTAGTGAGCCCAAAACAAGGAAAGATATTCCCACATAAGGTGATAGGCCAGGTACAATCTGTGTGGGCTCTTTAACTCTTGGTAAGAAGTGTTCCAGACTCAAGGTTCATTCTTTTTTTTCTTTTTTAAGATTTATTTATTTATTTGAGAGAGCGAGAATGAGAGAGAGTACATGAGAGGGGGGAGGGTCAGAGGGAGAAGCAGGCTCCTTGCTGAGCAGGGAGCCCGATGCTGGACTTGATTCCGGGACTCCAGGATCATGACCTGAGCTGAAGGCAGTTGCTTAACCAACTGAGCCACCCAGGCGCCCCACAAGGCTCATTCTTATGCAGCTGAGTGGGGGCTGAAAGACTACATGCAGGAGACTTCCAACACAAAGTCTTCTAGATTATTTTATTTTATTTTACTTTTTGGCTTTCTCCTTACATTCTGTCTTTGGAATTATAAGCACTGTATCATTTAGTCCTCAGTATTGCTCTGAATGGTGCGTACTGTTATCTTCACCCTACAAATGGAAAAGTTTAAGGATAAGGAACTCGTTCAGTCATAAGTGGTAGAGCTGGGATTTAAACTTGGATCTGGCCTGATTCAAGAGCCCAGTCTTAATCTCCATGCTCTACATGTCCTCCTGTGTGTGATGGCATGTGCCCTGTCTCTCCCGCTATAAGCTTCTTGAGGAAAGGGGACTGTGAGTTCTTCACCCCAGTCTTTTAGGAGCCTTGGCAAGATGCTTGACACACAGTCTGGGCTCAATAAATGCCAGCTGAATTGAATGGAAGTCAAAGTGTGCAAGAGGAATAAAGGTCCTTGGAGTTGAGAAAATCAAGGAACTCTTAAGACCAAGTGACAGAAGGCTCTTCTTGTGCTTGTTGAAGAGCTTGGAAGGGCAGCTAAAAACTGTGATACCAAAATCATTCAGTGGGGAGTGATGTAGATGTGGTAAAAAGCTTGAAGAGGCTAAATGCCCAGGCAGAGCCATGGAATGTTCATGGCTCAGTGTGGTTAAATATTTTAGGATACAGTCTTCTGTTTTGTTATTCCAGAAACTTACTTTTCTTTCTGTTCTCTAAAATGATTAGGCTTCCATGTTGACATACTAAAGGTTCAAGAAACTATTCAATAACCAAATACCATGTAATTAAACTCAATTAATTGCCTCAACTGGAATTTTCTGGTTTTGATTGTAATGGTATTGCTATCTAAGAAAGGCAGAAAGCAGACTAGAAAAGACAGGCATTCACTATAGTGTCTTGTTTGTGGAGAAAAATCCGTGTGAGTAGAAGGGGATAGTCATCCCAAAACAGTGAAAGAGACTGGGAATACCTGTCTAAGCTTGTCCAAAAGAGGGAGTCTGATCTAAGCACACTTGTTCAGACTAGCCTTATAATAAGTGCTCAATAAATGATAGCTATTATTTTTGTTAACACAGGTGAGAATGCTTCCAGGTACCCTTTAACTGAGAACCACTTTTTGAGATTAGGTACCTCCATATTCCATTTCCATGTTTAGCAAACAACTCTCTGAGCATTTGACTTCATACAGAGAGTATATAGAGGCCAGGAAAAGTGCTGGTCAGCCAGAGTTGGTCTCAGGTCCACTTTACCAGTGTTTTTTCTTGTGAATTAATATTGACAATATTGACATTCTGGAGTGTTGGTTCTGTGTGGTTTAAAGGGAGTCTGCCTCAAAGGACAAAATCCTCCCCCTGTGGCCTCTGGGGGCAAATGACCAGGGTTCAATTCCTGGCTTTCCCTTGCACTATCTCTGTAGCTTTGTGCAAGCTATGCAATCCTCTATGCCCCAGTTTCCCTTATCTGTAAAATAGGAAAAATAATAGTACCTACTTCTGAAAGTAGTTGTAAGAATACAATGAGATAATGCACAGGGCTTGCCACATAGTAACCCTCCATAAATTTTAGCTTTTGAGGTCAGGTTCCCCTAGGACCAAACCCTGGACTGTGGGGATAATAAGGCAAATGCTATCCACTCAATGGGCCTAGCTTCCCAAAGTGCTATCCTTTGCTTGTATATGGATCACCTTGACATTTGAAACAAGCCACTAGTACTCACCTAGTCTTGGGTTTTATATATATTAACTCATTTAATATTGATGGCAACCTCATGGGGTAGATGCTACTATTATCCCCCATTTTACAGATGAGGAAACTGAGGCATGGAGAGGCTAAATTTTTTTTGCCCGAGTGAGTAACTGGTGGCTTTCATTCCAGGAACCACCTTTTATTCACTTGTTAGACTATCTTCTTTCTCACAATCATATCAGAGATTGAAAACTCATTTTTTTCATCTCCAACAGTGTTTTAAAGATATAGTTTGTTTTCTTATGAGCTTTGACTCCACCCATAAATATATCATGTAGTTATAAAACCGGTGGTCTGCTTTATTTGAAAAAGATCAAATCAAATCAAACATAAGGTTATTCACCACCTATTACGTAGCCGGCATCACAGAACATCCCTGTAATTGTGCATTTCACTTACCATTTTTTCAAGATTGGTCTATCTGCTCTCATGTTTCAAAAAACTAGAAAGTAGAAACAACAAATTTGCTTCATAAAGTTATTAGTGTCTATAAATTTGAATAGGCATGCATTTATTAAGCCCCCTGGGTGTTGGCATCGTACCTGCCGAACATCCTAAGGTAGTAAAACATTTTTGTGCCCTTTTAGATTTTATAAAGAGCCTTTCAGAAGATGCTCACATCACACAATAACTGCAGAGGTGAAGAGGGAAAGAAATCGTCAACTTTTCTCTGCTTTTGCATCTCCTTCCTTAACTCCTGGAAATCACGAACGTTTGTCCAGCGTACCTCAGCCGTTATTTATCGAAGCTTCTCATTACCACAATGAGTTAGTTGGCCCCGAACTTTGTCTAGGATTCTCTCCTCTCTCTGGTGGAGGCTCCCGGATTGGCTGGAATCTGAACATGCGCAGAAGCTCAACGAACCCAGGGCGGGACGGTGCACTCGCGGGCACTGCCTCCCTTCCCCTGACAACGGGAAGCGGGTGAGCGTCAAGACGCCTGCGCAAACGTGGCCGGGGCGCCGGGGTGGTGGGTTACGCCTGGAGAGCGCATGGGCAGACAAACTGTACGTCCGTTTGTCCGGAGCGGAGGGGAGAGTGGGCGCCATCTTCTTCTAGGCTCACTGAGGGCTCCACCTGTACTGGGCAGGCTGCTGCGACGAGGAGTGCCCCCCGCCCCCGGCCTTGTGTGTCCGACTCGGCAGCAGTGGTGTGTGTTTATTGCCAAGTGCGAAGCAGTTACCCTTGGGGCGTCGGGGTGGGGAGGGGCTGGCGATGGGGACGGAAGAAGAGGGAAAGGCGGGGCCGGCAGCCGCGCCAGGAGCTAGCGTAGCTTCTGCCGTTAGGGCACCCTCATTCCTTGCTAAACACCGACTTTCCCGTCAGCCTCCATGTGGTGTGGTGTGTGCGCTGCCCAGTTTTCTTAAGAGTGAAGATCTCGAAGGATTTCATAGGTATTTTTTTTCTTTGCTATGTCATCGTAGTCAGTGGTGGCGGAAAAGCGTTGAAGGCCCGGCTCGTTAGGCATGAGAGTGGCCAAAGTGTTTGAATTAGGTATGGGGCAGTTCACCCTGTGGCGAGTTAGGGTGGAATGTTTGCCCTTGGGACGGCGTGACGGAAAGGCATGGAGGTTGGGCGGTCCAGGTTAATTTGAAGGCTGATTTTGGCTGAAGGTCTGGCGACAGCATCGGATCCCACGTAGCAACTTTGGCCTGGCGCGAAAGAAGGAAGCTCTGACCCCTGGGAGTATGGACAAAGGCTTTGGGCTATAGAAGCAATGCCTTCGGATGATCCCCATTTGAGGATGATGGATGTTATGGGAAATCCTGTGCCGAGTGGATTCGTCTTCATTTACAGTTCCTTAAGGACTATGGCTCTGTGTCGTCATGCCTTTGGTTTTTATTTTAACCATCTACATTATAAAAGGATAAAAGGCAGATCTTCATAAAGAATAATTGTGGACTGGGCTAGATTATTTTCTGCAGGGGAAACTTCTGCATTTAGAATTTCGTCATAACTTTGGGTTTTAAGGAATAGTCATTTTCTTTCCCCCACCGTATCTGGAAAATGACTTGTTACTCGCTAGTTAAAATCAGATCTGAGATAATACCTATTTAAATTTTAGTTTCTGGTTTCCCTGTAAGGCTTGATTAGAAGATGCACATTTCGTATTGTTTAGTGATAATGGTGATGAAGTGTGATGAATCCTGGATAAAATCAAAATTATTTAAAATGAACTTAATTAATTTCAGTGACTTGCCCTTAAAGGAGCTTTTTAGGACTCACTTCCATCTTTTCATAGGTTAGAAGTTCTAACAGATCAGGGTCTTTAAATCAACACAGTCACAAAAATACTTGTGTTGCATTCATAAGTAGAAAAAATTTTAAGTGCAGTGTACTTTAGGGTATTTTGATTTTTGTGTAATGTTCTAAGAGTAGAATTTCTGGGGAGTTTGCTTAAGGAAATAACGGAACCACAGAAAAAGTGCTCATTTTGAGAACTGGTCTCTTATAGGCGGTTTCCCAGGTATGTCATTGTTGAGAGATAAAATGGTACATTTCCCTACCATCTAAAGGGCAGAAAAGTTAAGTGTTAGTTATATGTGGCAAATTAGAAAAAAATACCATATATTGTCTGTTTGAATTGGAATTCAGATTTGTACTCATGGAACTATTTACAATGCTGTTTGTAAGCAAGGGAGAATAAGAAAATTTTTAAATTTGACATATTCTTGAAACATCCCTAAGTATCTTGTAGATACATTTATGTTCTCAGGGTAAATCCCTTTTAAATTTTTGAAAAAGTTTAGAAGAGACAAAATGGCATGTATCTTTCTAAAATATTTTAAAAGTAAAGGAGCTAAGTCAGTTTGCATAGGAAGGAATCTTGAAACTTCAGTGGGGACTATTCCAGAAGCCATTTATAGTTTTTTAAATGTTGGTGTGGATATTAGTTTGTTGAAGGAACCAGGCTTGTACTTATTTTTTATTTTTGGTACTGTGCGGATTTTAATAGACCATTTTTTTAGAGCAGTTTTTTAGGTTTACAGCAGTAAGGAGCAGAAGATACAGAGATTTCCCATATACCCCTGCCCCCACACATGTACCATGTAAATATTTTAATAATAAGTGTCATTAATATTTTCAGTATTAATTTGGCATTGATAATTCAGATGTAGAATATGCCAAGTAATTTCTTGATATCTTTGTTAGTTTAGCTTGTAGTTTAAAAAGTTTAATCAGTGGACCATTTTCAAAGGAAAATAAACCCTGCAGACCTCAGTATGTCTTTTTTTTTTTAAGATTTTATTTATTTGACAGAGAGAGATAGTGAGAGCAGGAACACAGGAAGGGGGAGTGGGGGAGGGAGAAGCAGGCTTCCTGGCAAGCAGGGAGCCTGATGTGGGGCTCCATCCCAGGACCCTGGGGTCATGACTTGAGCCTAAGGCAGACGCTTAAGGACTGAGCCACCCAGGTGCCCCAAAGAATATGTCTTTAGACAACACTTTGTGGAAGAGTGGTACTTAAGTGTAAATACTGAATTAAAGCAACATTTATTGGCACATTAAAAACAAATTTGTAATTATTAATTTAACAACGTTTAAAAACTTATTCAGTAAGACTACATTAAATATTGTTACTTTGGGTATCTCTGAAAATATTAGATATAAATTTCCTTAAGGAAATATTAAGTTAAGATTTTTCAGCAGTTAACACTGATAATCCCTAAACATTCTAATTAAATGTGCTTTTATTCTATTTTCTACATGTCATTTGGGTTTTCTCAGTGCAGCACAGTTTGAAATGGAATAAACTTGTTAGCATAATAAGATTTTCTATTTGGCTTAAGATGAATTTTAATAGTAATTGTTTTAGCAGTTTAAGATAAGGAGGAGTAGTTGAGATTTTTTTTATTTTAGAGGTATTTTATTTTTTTAAAGATTTTTATTTATTTGATAGAGCAGTGGGGAGAGGCAGAGGGAGAGAGAATCCAAGCAGACTATGTGCTGAGCATAGAGCCCGACGAGGGGCTTGATCTCATGACCCTGAGATCATGACCTGAGCCGAAACCAAGAGTCAGATACTTAACCGACTAAATCACCCAGGCTCCCCAGTTTTAGGGGTATTTTAGTATTTGCCTTAATTATATTAGAATCAGGAAACTTGGTTCCATGTTTGGAAGTGTGAGCTGTATGTGTAGAACTTAAAATTGTATCCAAAGGGTAGCCATTGGTTTGGATCAAAACATTAGTGTCTTGTTCATTTATTGTATCATTTTGAATCATTGCCTTATTAATTTGATTTGGTCTTATGTTTTAAAAGGGAGGAAAATTGCAAGAGTTGGACTTACTGAGCTAGGTGTTTGGTCTTTTCATGAGTGGAAGTGATAGGCTTTTGGGGAATTTTTGGTGTTTTTAAATTGTCATTTTACTTGTAGAACAGTTGTCTTTTTCTAAGTGGATGTAAAATTTATATACAGTGAAATGCAGAGACCTTAAGGATAGTATTCATTTAATCATAGCAAGTTTATACACCCATATAACCAACACTCTAATCAAAATGTGTAACATTTCTATCACCCTTTTCCTCATGCCACTTCCAATCAAGGAGCTGTTTAATTTCCAGAAGTTTTTTGTTTTAAAATAATTTGCAGATGTCTACTTGGAATTTGTACTTCGTTTTTGCTGAAGGATGTTTAATTTCCCCTTGGAACAAAGAAGACCATTTTGTAATGCCCATAGTTGTGGTTCCTATATTGCTTCACTTTTAATAGGTAATTCTGAAGTGAATATCCTTATCTGGCGTTGTTTAAGATCAATTACAGGGTCCGAGGATTAATTATATTTCATTTTCTTTCCACAGTTAAGTTGCTTTTACAGAATTAACAGGTCTCCAAGAAATTTTAAAAAGGTAAGATATCCAGAGCTTAAGGCTTGACAAAAAAAAAATGTAAAATAGAATAGGACATGTAGGTACACATGGTTTCTGTACTTTACCTCTGGCCAGTGATGCACTAGTGGTAGACAGTTTATTATCATAAGCAAAAATTATATACTGACCATAGATGGCTTTTCAAATATGTAAAACTCATTGTGGTTGGTAAAATTCTTTAACCCACAAAGCTCTCTCTCATGTTTCAGTAGAAGATATGTTTCTAAGTGAGTCTGAAAATAGTTTGGTCTTGTTGTGAAGCAGTGCTTGGCAGACTTACAAAGAAGATTTGATATTTTTGATGCTCATATTGTATAGGATAGGTGATATGAAATATTTCTTCGAAATAGTTGGTTTATTTGTATGTTTAGATGGGAGAAGGTTTATTCTTTAAGAAATTAGATACAGTCAGTATTTTTTGTGAACTCAAACTTGTTTTCATTTATAAATGCTGAAGAAGGTAGGAACCAAGTAATTATTAAGTTTAGTTTGGGATAAGGTACTTCAAAAATAAGACTTGCTATTATGTGTACCTTTCTGTCTGCAGGTCATTATTGCTGTGGTTTGAGCTCAGCATGGCTGTAGTCATCCGTTTACTGGGGCTTCCTTTTATTGCGGGGCCTGTGGATATTCGTCACTTCTTCACGGGATTGACTATTCCTGATGGAGGAGTGCATATAATTGGAGGGGAAATTGGGGAGGCTTTTATTATATTTGCAACAGATGAAGATGCAAGACGTGCCATAAGTCGTTCAGGAGGGTTTATCAAGGATTCATCTGTAGAGCTCTTTCTTAGTAGTAAGGCAGAAATGCAGAAGACTATAGAAATGAGAAGAACTGAACGCATAGGAAGAGAGCGACCAGGATCTGGGGCGTCAGGGGCTGGCAGCTTGTCTAACTTTGTTGAGGCTATTAAAGAAGAAGCAAGTAATTCTGGATATGGCTCTCCAATTAATCAAGATGCTGGGTTTCATACTAATGGTACAGGACATGGTGATTTAAGGCCAAGAAAGACACGGCCATTGAAGGCAGAGAATCCTTACTTGTTTCTGCGAGGTTTGCCTTACTTAGTAAATGAAGATGATGTACGTGTCTTTTTCTCTGGTTTGTGTGTGGATGGCGTAATTTTCTTGAAACATCATGATGGCCGAAATAATGGTGATGCCATAGTAAAATTTGCTTCATGTATTGATGCTTCAGGAGGTCTTAAATGTCATAGAAGTTTTATGGGTTCAAGATTCATAGAAGTAATGCAAGGCTCAGAACAGCAGTGGATTGAGTTTGGTGGTAACGCAATTAAGGAGGTTGACATTCCTATGAGAACTGAAGAACATTCTCCACCAAGAGGAATTAATGATCGACATTTTCGAAAACGATCTCATTCAAAATCTCCCAGAAGAACACGTTCTCGTTCTCCTCTTGGATTTTATGTTCACTTAAAAAATCTATCCCTAAGTATTAATAAGAGAGATTTAAGAAATTTCTTTAGAGATACTGATCTGACTAATGAACAGATTAGATTTTTATATAAAGATGAAAGAAGAACAAGATACGCATTTGTGATGTTCAAAACTCTGAAAGACTATAACACCGCTCTGGGTTTACATAAGACAGTTTTACAATATCGTCCAGTTCATATTGATCCTGTTTCTAGAAAACAAATGCTGAAGTTCATTGAATGTTATGAAAAGAAAAGACCAGTGTCAATAGAGAAAGAGAGGCTTGGACATATTTCACAAAAATACTCTCAAGAAGGCTACCCTGGCCAGAAACTGTGTATATATATAAGAAATTTTCCTTTTGATGTTACAAAAGTTGAAGTGCAAAAGTTCTTTGCGGACTTCTCTCTTGCAGAGGATGACATTTACTTACTTTATGATGACAAAGGAGTTGGTCTGGGAGAAGCATTGGTGAAATTCAAAACAGAAGAACAGGCCATGAAAGCTGAACGTTTAAACCGACGGAGATTCTTGGGGACAGAGGTATTGTTAAGACTTATATCTGAGGCACAAATGCAGGAGTTTGGTGTAAATTTTTCCTTGATGCCCACTGAGAGAATGCAAGACCATTCACAGTCATGTGATAGAGATGACCATTCCCATTCATTTGACTCAAGTGATCCACCAATATACTCAGTTGGCCCATCTGAAAACTTTAGGCATCAGCAGGAGGACTTGAGGCAACTGGACAATTTCAAGCAAACCCAGGCGGATTTCCGACAGCTTGACAGGAGCCTTCCAGAAGACTTTAGGCATTCCCCAGAGGACTTCAGGCGCTCCCCAGAAGACTTCAGGCGCCCTCGGGAGGAGCACTTCAGGCGGCCTCTTGAGGAGGATTTCAGGCGCCCTTGGGAGGAGGATTTCAGGTACCCTCGGGAGGATTTCAGGTACCCTCGGGAGGAGGACTGGAGGCGGCCACCCGAGGAGGATTTCAGACGACCTCCCAAGGAGGACTTCAGGCGACCCCCCGAGGAGGACTGGAGGCGACCCCCCGAGGAGGACTGGAGGAGGCCCTTGGAGGGAGACTTTAGGCGGCCACCTGAGGAGGATTGGAGGCGGCCTCCTGAGGACGACTTCAGGCGGCTTCCCCAAGGGGAATGGAGACGACCACCTGAGGAGGACTTCAGGCGACCACCCGAGGAGGACTTCAGGCGACCACCCGAGGAGGACTTCAGGCGACCTCCCGAGGAGGACTTCAGGCGGCCCCCTGAGGAGGATTTCAGGCGACTTCCGGAGGAAGACTTCAGGCGACCTCCCGAGGAGGATTTCAGGCGTTCTCCTGAGGAGGATTTCAGGCGACCGCCCCCGGAACACTTCAGGCGGCCGCCCCCGGAGCACCTCAGGCGGCCGCCCCCGGAGCATTTCAGGCGGCCGCCCCAGGAGCACTTCAGGCGGCCGCCTCAGGAGCACTTCCGCCGGCCGCCCCAGGAGCACTTCCGCCGGCCGCCTCAGGAGCATTTCCGGCGGCCACCCCAGGAACATTTCAGGCGCCCCCGAGAGGAAGATTTCAGGCACCCACCGGATGAAGATTTCAGGGGCCCTCCTGATGAAGACTTCAGGCATCCTCCTGACGAGGACTTCAGGAGCCCCCAGGAGGAAGACTTTAGATGCCCTTCTGATGAGGACTTCAGGCGGCTCCCGGAGGAAGACCTCAGGGAACCTCCAGAAGAGGACCCTAGACTTCCTGACAGTTTTAGACCTCCTGCTGAGGAGTTTAGGAACCCACCTGATGACTTTAGAAGTCATCGCCCTTTTGTGAATTTTGGTCGCCCAGAAGGTGGCAAGTTTGATTTTGGAAAGCGCAGTATGGGAAGTTTACCTGAGGGGAGGTTTATTCCTGACCCAAAATTAAATTGTAGTTCAGGTAGAGTAACACCTATTAAGATAATGAATCTTCCATTTAAAGCTAATGTTAATGAAATTCTAGACTTTTTCCATGGCTATAGAATCATACCCGATTCAGTTTCAATACAGTATAATGAACAAGGATTACCTACAGGGGAAGCCATTGTTGCTATGATAAACTATAATGAAGCTATGGCTGCTATTAAAGATCTAAATGATAGGCCAGTTGGCCCTCGCAAAGTTAAGTTACTGTTGCTCTAGAGAGCATTTCTAAATTCAGTAACGTCCCCACAGTATTGATGCAGTAAAATGCATTTGTTTTTAAGTGTTTATTTTTAATGATCTAATGGAAAACATTTTAATTTGACTTGTGAATAGAACAAATGTAAATATTAGAATGTGAATCTGGTTTTCTTTTGCTTGCAAATTGCCATTCAGTTTTTCTAATTTAAAATTATATATGCCCCCCCCCTTTTTTTTTTGGACAGTGGGGGAGAAAATTCCGAGTGCATTAATTTTTGTTGATATCTTGGGTAAACCTCAAGACTTGTATAGTAGAGCTGTATTTGGGGAAGATAAATTTTATATTCACTTTTGTTTCCAGTCTGTAGTCTACATCTTATACTGTGTAAGGAAATGGTCAGTGATTTATTGTTCAGGTTTAGCATTTTTATTGCTAACTGCCTGCAGAATTAATGCCCTCTTCTTTGTCTGAGATATTACTGTGTTAAGCCTCCCGTTAATTATAAATAGTTCAAAATAGACAGACTGTGAATTTGAAGTTTACTTATGTAAAAAGCTTAGGAGATTCTTGAAGTTTCCATGTTCGTAACTGCAAAGTTTTATAAAAATAAAAAAATTGCAACTGAATAGACCAACTAATTAACTTTACTTGTATTTGTATAAAAAGAAAAAAGAATTACAGCTTCTTCTGTGAAGTTTTCAACAGCTACCTTAGTATTTATGATAGGATGGACCAAACATCTATAATAGTAGCATAGAGAGGTATGTTTAGTTCTATGGTTTCCTCCACATTTCATCAACCAAACTGATAAAATTAACTCAAAATACTTAAAAGTTACTAAAAAGTAACTATAGCTACAAAGGACATTCAGACTTCTGCTGGGAAGAATGTGATATATGGATATAGTTTCTTTTTAGGAAGAATTTAGTGATGATTCATTTAACTTGTAGTTTTTATTAGGTTCTCATTTTTAAATTTCAAGACTTTGTATCCAAAGACTCAATAACTAAATATAATCAGACTTCTATGAGATTGAATTTTGACTTCTTTGATGTATTTAGTGTGAGCATTTTGTAAACACTGGATTTGATTTTTTTAATACCCATAATAATATTAATGGCTAACATTTATTGGGCACTTACTGTTTGCTAGGCAGTAAAAGTGATTTACATGCATAATCTCAATTTAAATATTCCTTAAGTATGGAATATTACTTACGTCTCTTTCAACAAGTGAGATAATGAAGTTTAGAGGTTCAGTAACTTGCTTAAAGTCATAGCTTGTAAATCATGGAGACAGTTTCAACCCAGACAGACCACTGACTCCAGTTGATGCTCTTAACACTTTTGCCTACTAACTTTGTTAAGTGGTACTTCTCATTTTAGTAAGATCATGCTAAAAATACTTTGAAATACTTTCTTCACACATTGCTGCTTTAAAAAGAGCATTAAAAACAAAATTAGTATGCTCATTGTTCATAAAAGACAAATTAACTTTAAAAGTTTTTATATATCCAGGGCTTCTCTTGGATAATAATAACATTATAAATTGACTTCTAATTAAAAGTTGTTTATCAAATATGATTTGACTTTGGTTGGCCTTTAAGTTTACATAAAACCAGGTTAATTTTCTCAATTCTGTGATCCAGGTTTCCTATATTGAGCAAATAAGAATAAAATTTGAATTTATATATGGTTGTTCAGTCATTTAATAATAGGATATTGCAGAAGTAGAATACTTTGTCAGTACTTAGCCATTTACTACCAGTTTGGATGAATCTTCAGTGATTTAAGAAGTCTAAGAGAAACCAATTCAAGTTTCTGTGTGTTTAATTATAGTGAATATAATTGCTAGTAGAATGAGTAAACTGGTAATTTGGTTTGAAAAAGCACATCAGTATGCTCTTTTAAACTAGTAAGCTTATAAATAGCCAGGAGAATGATAAATTAATAACCAAACAAGATGAACAAAATAGGAAGAAATGATATTTGAATGCTCAAAGATTATTTAGATGGTTCATTCGATCAGTCGTCTTGAGGAATGTATGGAAGACTTTAAAACACTTCTCAGATGGGTAGCGGTAAGAGCTAAGATGAAGCCTAAAAGTGAAATACCACATAATGTGGAACTTTTTCTCAGAATGGGCTGGGGTATGATGGTAGTAGTAAATAAGAGGTCAACAATAGTAAACACAAGCTTTGTATTTTGATTGTAAAATTAATGAATTGATAGGAATAGATAACTTTACTCCATAATCATTTAGTTTATTTTTAAAATTTTAAAAATAAAAAGTTAATTATAGAAAACTGGTTTCTACTGAATACAGCCATTTTTGCACATTTTTCCCAACTCTGCTTTCAGTGGTATGTTGATAAATTGGCCATGGTAGGAGTTCTTATGCCATGGAAGTTGACAAATGCAACACAACAGGGCATTTTCCATGTTGGAGAGCCAGTTAACCAAGCACAACACCAATTTCAAACACCTAAGTTCTTACACACCCATCAATATAGTTGATCTTGAACGACCTGGGTTTGAACTATCAGTGTCCACTTACGTGTAGAATTTTTTCCATAAATACAGTACACTATTTTCTCTTTGATTTTAACAATATTTTGTTTTCTCTAGCTGACTTTATTGTAAGAATACAATATATAATGCATATACAAAATACATGTTGATTAATTGTTATTGGCAAGGCTTTTGATCAAAATTTATGCGGATTTCAACTGCACAGAGGTCAGCATCCCTGACCCTGGCATAGTTCAAGGGTCAACTATATCAGCCAGTTTTGCCTCCTCTCTCCTACTCCCAAATATATCAGGTACACTAGGAGCATACTGGTTCTCTAGTTTAATACCCAGTGGCATTTTAATTATCTTAAAGCCAAACATTTTTGTCAGAGGTATCTGAAAAATATAGTTCATGTCTAGAAAATAAAAATAATCCCACAAACCAAGAGGTAGTTAAGAATCATTATATTGGGAGTACACTTTATCACTTAGAATAAGCAGTGGCTAGAGCAGTGGCTCTTGGTTCACCTATCACCTATTAGGCAGTGACCCCATTACCTCCATCTTTGTATTAAATGTTAGTTATTACTGAGCTGCATTAGATACCATATATTTATGATCTATAATTATGAATTAACGATATCATTTATTCTCAATAACCCTAATAAACTTAAACCTATTTTGGAGATAAGAAATGGAGGCCTATAGGCTAAGTAACTGGTCAGGTTACCTTTTTTTTTTTTTTACAAGGAAGCTGAAAGGTTTTTACATTTTTAAAGATGGTTACATTTTTATGTGTATGTGCGTGAGAAAAGCGATAGAAGTTTATTAAGTGAAGATACAGAAAAAGCTCTCAAGTGAGAGGGGTCCCAACAGGGTTGCTGATGAGGGTCTTTAGGGTTGGTCTTTTATAGAAAGCTAACCAGGGCACTTAAAACCTTTTAACATCTCTATTGATAACACCTTCAATGGCTTACTTCCTTTTTAGGTCTCAGTTATTCTTTGTTGGTCACAGGTGATTATCATAAAGACACCCACCCCACCCACCTAGGGCAGGGTGGTCCTTCACCCCACCCCACCCCACCCCACCCACCTAGGGCATAAGTACCTATGTTACTAGCCTTGATTTCGTTTCTCAGCCCACAAATTATAAAAATATTTACTCTAGCCCTTTAAGTTTGCCAACCTAAGTCTGGTCTAAAAGAAACTTAATTTTACATTGCTTAAAGTATTATGTATAGTAATCCTTTTGTCTTTTTTTTTTTTTAAGATTTTATTTGAGAGACAGCACCAGCAGGGAGGAAGGGCAGAGAGAGAGGGGAGCAGACTCCCTGCCGTGCAAGGAGCCCGATGTGGGACTCGATCCCAGCACCCTGGGATCATGACCTGAGCCTAAGGCAGACAGACGCTTAACCGACTGAGCCACCCAGGCGCCCTCCATGATGTTTTCTTAGGCAACATTCCACCAAATTACAGCTTTCCAAAAGTTGTAATTTTGTGGATAATTCCTTAGTATGATAATCATTTTCATTTTAAAACCAGAATCAGGCTGAGTGTAACTTTCTTTTTGAATCTAAAATTTACGCTAAATTTTAATCTAAAATTTAAGACACTGATACTTTAGTGTCCCATTACCTTTAATCAGAAGAAATAACAGTCTTGTTGAAAAGTAAATTATCAAAAGCAATGAAACTTAAGGTTGTAGTAAAAGTGAAAAAAAGGAAAGGAAAAAAAACCCTTGTCTTTTTTTTAAGGCTTTATGGAATAGAATTTGTATTTAATCAGAATGACTAAAGACCCTTTTTTGGCAATGAAAGCAAAAGAAGCAAGTCAAATTGTTAGATCTCTTGTTTTTTTGTCATCTACTTATACTGCAACCACAACTATGTATAGTGCATTAATAGGAAATACTTTTGAAATACATAATTTTTTTTTAAATGTAACCTATACAAAAATCACATACTGTTGGATAGGATGTTGAAATGACTGGTGTGTAATATTTTTTAAAACCTTCATTTTTGGTCAGCACAAATTTCCTTTAATTTTCATTTCCAGTAGGACTTCATTTTGAGGTTTAATGTGTATGAAGCCAGTATAAAGTTTTACAGTGTAGTAATTCTGGATTCCAAGTCATTTAAGATGAAACCTGAAAGGTGAAGTTTACTTAAGAAAATTAATTTTCTTCTTCTGTAACATCTAAGTCTTCATCCTCTTCATCATCATCATCTGCCTGTTGATCCTTTCTTAGTCGACAGGTAGATACCTGTTAAAAGTTAACACATTAAAAAATATATTAACTTAAAATATTTTTACATGCTTGGTATCTTTTTAATATGCTCTTACAGAGAAGGGCACATAGAACATGTATTTCAGGAAGATAATTTCTAGTAATGAAACTTCCCTACGAATTAATGTACTCTAAGGCTGAAAAGAGTCACAGTTTTTTCATTCATTTATCATGTTATTTTTGAGCAAAAATATGAAATTAACCATTAGATTCCAGTTGGATACCAGCATTTTAATAACATAAAATACTTCAGAGAAAAGGTACAGATTCAGGATATTATGGCAAATATATTTTAGGTTAAATAGTTCTTGGGTCACAAAAATAGGCATTTCAATGAGAATCCTCAAAGGGATAACAAAAACTCCCAAGAATATTTCAGCTAGGTAGCTGAAATATTAAAATTTAATACTATGATTTAAATGGAATGAGTTGAGAATCTGAATTCACTACTTGGCTTTAAGTCCTGACCATTGCCACTTGGGTCGTCTTGCTTCAAACCTTTCTTGAGGGCCATCTGGTAATATCTGGAGACACTGCTGTCACATCTTAGGGGATGTGTTTGTGTGTGTTACTGGCATCTTGTGGGTAGAGGCTAGTGAGGTTGCTGAACATGTTTAGAATACACAGGATACTACTCCCCATTCCCTTGCCAAATTATCTGGCTCAAAGTCAATAGTGTGGAGGTCAAGAAACCCTGGAATGATGTACTTTTAAAGTAGTACACAGATGTTAGCTAATTTTGGTAACATTAGCTCGAAATAGAAACAAACTTTGTATGTACTATGATACTAGATATATGGAACTTAATGTGTAAGGCACCTTATGCTGGAATGATAAAAATGTAAGTTGGTTGGGGGAGAGAGGCATACATAGAAAGCAGTAAATAAATGAGTAAACAAATGCTTAGAGGAGAACCAAATGAAAATAGAAGGTATTGGGTCACATTTACCTAAAATTTAAATTTTGAAAATATTTTGCTCAATTTTGAATTCTGAATGCTGGGTATGAAAAAGTGTATAGATCTCTAGATCAGAAGTTGGCAAGCTATACCCCATTTTGCCTCCTGTTTATGTAAATAAAGTTTTACTGTAACAGCCAAATTGACTTGTTAATATACTGTTTATGGCTGCCCTTACTTGGGACATAGACCATATGGCCCATTTTTTTCTGTGGCCTCTTAGAGAACAAGGTTGTTCACCCCTCCCAGTTTTAGCCACCAGGTAACTCAGGTTTTCTGGGTGTGGAAGAAATGAGAAAATTGACTCTTACCTAAAGATAATGTGCTTCTGTATCTAAGATAATGTTCAGCAAAAGATCTTTTTTAGGTATAATTTTCAGTAAGTCATGATAGTGGAATTTTTAAACCCTAAGCAGTTTGACTTCAGAATCTGTGCTCTTCATATTATACTGCAGAATAAATCTAGATTCGCATTCTCTTGTCCTTTTCACTTCTGCTCTCACATGTTCTGCTTTAGAGAGTATTATGTGCTATAGTATACAAGATAAAGAGATAAGAGAGCTGCGCCTAGTGTAATCTTCCATTACTTTATGTAAGAAGGTAGGAGGGTAAGTTATATTAAGTCAGGACTTAAAGGAAACATTTTTAGTACTGAACACCACCAAAGGCAGCTGCTCAAATTCCTTTAAATTATGTATGGTTTCTAGCTTACCTGTCCCGTTCCAGATACACACTTAGCTGAGAGTGATCTTTGAAGAGGTGACTTTGAATTTGCTCTTACAATATCTAAACGGGATGCATAATCTGGTGGATACAGAGAATTTCGGAAAACCTGTTGGAATGATAAAGCAACATTATAAAGTAGATATCAAACCCTGGAAATCCAGAAAGCCATATTAAGTTCCTCTTGGTTAAGATTTTTTTTAGCAACTTAACACATTTCCTCCGCAAAAGCTCATCCACCCACCTCCACCTCCCAGGACAAAATTTCTATTACTCTTAATTAAAAAAAATTAAATACAAAATATATATTTTTAAACATTTATTTGAGAGAGCGCACATACAAGGGAGAGGCAGAGGGAGAGTGAGAATCCCAAGCAGGCTTCATGCCCAGCGAGGAGCCTACTTGGGGCCTGATCTCATGACCCTGAGATCATGACCTGAGCCAAAATCAGGAGTCAGACACTTAACTGAGGCACCCAGATGCCCCAATACAAACAGTATTTTAAGTTGTAAAGATGAAAGCTAAAAAGTTTATTTGAGCCAGGTAAGGTGACTATGGGTCCTCAAACCATCACGTGAGAGCTTTTGCTGAGGAAATGTGTAAGTTGCTACCCTCAAAGAGGATGTTTGCCAGTAGGGAGGCTGCAAGTCAGTCATACCTTTGATTCTTTGTCTTCTGCTTATCTCAGCTTTTACCAATTTAACTTGATTGCAGTATTCTGCTAGTATTCACATAAGAGTAAGTTGAAGCCAGTATAATTTATGCATTCCAACTTCACTAGAATCTGGAATACCTTTGTTGGGTTTTTTTCCCTAAAGCAACAGTTCCAAATACCACTCTCTTAAGCCTGTCTATATCTTTTGTCTTCTCCCATTTCTTTAACATACAAATAGGTAAGGTTATCACATGTGAATTTCTTCAGCTTCACTCCCTTTTTCCTCAACTCTTCACCCTCTCCCCCAACCCCCTTTTTAAGCAAATGTCATTCTGATTCTTTCCAAGGCGCATATTTCATATATGCAAAACTTGAAATCATAAAACAAAAGCTTGCTTTCTCCACAGGTTCCTTCTTCCCCCAGCAAACAAGTTCAAGATCAATCTTTTTTTATATTCAACTTCATCTCTTATTTGTCAAAAACATACAAGTAGGCTTTCACCTTCCACTGAGATTGCTCCTGCCAGAAACCACCAAGGTCATCTTTCTGTCTTGATCTTTACTGACCTTGTTACGAAACTTCTTTTCCATGCATGCCATCTCTAAACTCTTCATGTGCTAGCTGCCCTACTTCTTCACATCTCCTTTTCTACTGCTTATACCTTGAATATTTTTAAAGGGTTTCCCTTAGGCCATGTTTTTTTTTTTTTTACACCTTTTTCTGAAAGATCTTATCTATACAGCATTTAAAGCCTACCTTTCAAGGAATTCTCTTTGGGCTTTCTCCTGATAGCCATACTTAGAGGCCCAACTACCTTCTGTTCTCTTAGACCAACACCGTCTAGTAGAACTTTCTGAGATGATAGAAATCCTTGCTATTTTGTGCTGTCCAAAAGGGCTACATGTGGTTACCAAGCCCTTGAAATGTGGTTCATATGAATGAGGAACTGAATTTTTAACTTTAGCCACATATGCCTAGTGGCTACTGTGTTGGACATTGTAGTTCTACATTTCACCTTTACAATGAACGATGTTACCATACATTTAGTAGACCAAACTAAAACCCTGGCGATTGCCCCTCAATTTCTCATCTGAGATACTTCTATTTTAATTTATTGACTCTACACATTTTTCTTTATAGTTTACTTAGAATTAGCTTACTGAAGACCAAAATATATTATTAAAAAACTTTCTGGCTCCTGACTACCCAGGATCCAAATTCCTTAGGTGACCTGCAAGGCTTAAGATGACTCAAACCGACCTATCACTCTTCACTTCTAGTCTATGTACCTATATGTAGAACATATTCTATTCTGCCTTTGCAATACTGATTCCTTAGAATTCCCCAGAATTCCAGCAAACTCATCATTCAAGAGCCAAGTCAAATACCATCTTCCGCTTTCTCCTATTCTCTAGTCAATTTCTCCTAGTGTATTCTCTAGCTCCTATTGTTCATACCCTCAATACAGCTTTCATTTCATTGTTCTGTAATTACATATCTCTCCTACTAGCTTTAAGTTCCTCTAGAGCAAGGAGCCCTGTTTTATCTTTTCAACTCCTTCCAGCTTAAGACAGTAACATGATAAATGAATGATGTTAACATGACCTTAATCCCCATGTTTTTTGGGGAAAAAAAAACCCCTAAGGATGTCTCTACACATTTCTTTAAACTTTAGAGAGGTGCAAGACACCAAAGAAATTGATGAGACTTAGACCCACAGGTGAGACTTGTGTTTTAGGGCACTTCAGGCATGCTAATTAGATTATTTAACATGTTACTGAGGACTCGGTATTATGTTTTGGTGCCAGATATGGAACACTGGCACCCTGGTATTATATAAAAACTAGATGACTCATTAATCAACTGTTACTTGGAAAGGATATATTTTTGTTAGAACAACATTCCTTTTTTAACTGTTCTAGCAAAGATGAAGTTAAAAGTGGGAAATGGAAGACAGTATACACCCATGAGATAAAAGTCTAAACCAGTTAAATACTAAAATTAATCTCAATGCAAAACAACAGACTTACAGGAATATTTATTGGCAATAATGCTTTTCCCAATATGGTCCAAGATCTCTTCTAGGAGTGAGTCTCAAGATGTTCTGAAGTGATTGCACAGAGATGATCTTTTGAAGGGGAAATGAGCCTGACAATGCTTTTTTATGTGAAGAACAAATAAGGTAAGATGGTCTGTAATATAACTAGATGCCTAACTGCAAAAAAATTAGCTGCTGCCAGATTAAGTCTCAGCAGTTCTTGTAAAGCATGGACCACCTAAGAAAAATAGCAAGTTCTTTCTCTGTTTCTCTCTACATATTTTCTCTACTTACTTCCAAGAAACCCTGTATTTAAAGGATCCTTTTTCTTCTTGGTACCTGTTTGGTATCATTTTACTTCCCCTGGTCTCACAGCTGTCCCTAGACTCCTCTCCTCTCCACGCCAATCTCTATAGGCATAATAGTAACAGTTTATGCCTATAGTTTGTTATGCTTCAGGATCTTTGTGTATCTATCTGTATCCTTTGCCTGAAAGGGTTGCCAGGGGTTCTCCTACATACACATCCCTCAAACTTCTCATTGAGAAATCATTCTTTGATTTCTCCAGACTATTTAGAATCCTCCATCACATATACTTACAGCACACTATATTTTTTATGAGACTGGTCATATTATAAAACTTAAATAGTTTGTGCTTCACAGATACTCTGTTTTTTACAAACTGAAGGTTTGTGGCAACCCTGCTTCAAGCAAGTCTATCGGTGCCATTTTCCCAACAGCATTTGCTCACTTCGTGTCTCTGTGTCACATTTTGGTAATTATTGCAATAGTTTAAACTTTTTCATTATTATTATTACTATATATATGTTATGGTGACCTGTGATCAGTGATTATGATTCACTGAAAGCTCAGATGATGGTTAGCATTTTTTAGCAATGAAATATTTAATTCAGGTATGTACGCTTTTTTAAAGATCTTATGCTATTGCATACTTAAGAGACTATAGTATACAACATTGTATATTAACTCTACGGGAATTAAAAACTTAAAAAAAGACTATAGTATAGTGTAAACATAACTTTTATATGCACTGGGAAACTAAAAAATTCATTTGACTTGCTTTGTTGTGATATTCCTTTTGCAGAGTTCTGGACTGCTGCAATCTGAGGTATGCCTGTTAGTGTCTGAACTCCATGGTAGATTTTTAAGTTTTTGCTTTGACAACTCAGACCATTTCTAACTTATAATGCTAAATCCTCAGAACTTCAAATGCTGCCTGGCATATAACAGGTGCTCAACAAACAGTTGTTGAAGGAACATTTAATGAGGTAAATACTGTATCTCCATTTTAGGGATAAGGAAGCTGAAGTATGAAGAACTTGCTCAATACTGCCCCACTACAAAGTGGGGAAGTTGATACTTTGTCAAAAACTTATCTGCCACACAGCCCTGAGATCTTTAGTTTTTATGAATCTCTCCTCTCACAAGCTACCTAGCTAGCTGATTAAGAATAGTAGTAAGAGAAGTGGTGTGACAAAAAACCTAACTAGGACCTCTGGAATGAGAAGGAAAATCTTAGGGTCCAAAAGAATTGAAGGAACTTTAGTGACCATTAACAAATGGCATCTCAAGGGCATTTTAGAAAAAAGGAGAATGAAAATACTTGTAAAGAGGATTCCAGTCTTGTAGGAAAAGGGGATCAATTCTGAACCTGCCACTCCATGCAGTGTTGTGTCTTGTAGGGAATGGTGCACATTACTCATCAAGAAGCACACTTTTCTTCGCAGGATAGAGAGGATGCAAACACAGTGTCAGTAGTCAGACTTCTGAGTTTGGCTCCCAGCTATATTACTTACTAGTTAGGGGACTCCCTGGGAAGTTTCTTAACCTCATTCTGCCTCAGTTTTCTCTTCCATAGAAATGAGGACAGTAAGTACTTCTATCAAAGTTGATGGGAGAATTAAAATATAATTAAAATGCATAGATCAGTAGATGTCCAAAGTAATCATTTTATAAACATTTGCTATTTTATTATTTTACAAATGACACATAAAAGCTTGATCTATTTTTTAAAAAAATAGGACATTAAAGGAGTGAAAATTAAGAGATCTTAGCTTTAGTATTTGGAAAGACTGGACCCTTAGGAAGCCATCTATTGATAAACAATAAACAGAAATATCATGTATGCATAACTGACATAAAACTGGGAGATGAGATTTTGGCACTGGAAAACCTATACACACATATTAAAACATGTGCCTTTCTTCATTTTAGTCAAGCTGTAATCTGATTTTACTGACTTAAGTTTCCTGGAACCAATGGAGTAGTGAGAAGAGAAGGCCCAGGTGTGCTTTATGATGGACAGTTAATAAACAACTCGGGGAATCTTCACAATTGCCAAATGGCAGACATTCCCAAATTCTATCACTTAGTAATACAGAATTCTGGCTATATCTTGAAACTACCTGGCCTTTTCCCTTCTACTACAGAGATAAAATGTGGACAAAGTATATCTCCAATATTTTACCTGTTTTAGCAAAAATACTTTTCTGCCTTTTTTCTTCCCTTTTAGAAGATAGGAGGGTAGGATATTTACTCTTCAGATGTGCTTGCTGAAGCCAGGCTTAGATATTTAAATGCTCTAACATTAGTTGGCCAATTGGATTTGCACTGAACTCTCAGTACAAAGCAAGCCTTATTATAAATCTACATTTACTTCATAGCATACTGATTAAGAATCCTGATTCTGCTATTTATAGCTAAGTGTCTATGGTCAAGTTAAGTTACTTAAAGCCTCTAAACCTGTTTTTGTAGCTGTAAAATGAGAATAACAACAGCACCTACCTTATTATAGGATTGTGTGAGGAGTGAATGAGAAAATTGATGTGAAGCTTTGGGTATTCTGCATAGCATAAAGCACTCAAATGTTAGCACAAATCATTGTTACTGTTAGTATACTTAAGTGACTTACATCACCAGTCAAAATGATACATTGTTTCACATAATGGCCTTATTAACTAGCTATTAATAAATTAACTCTTGGAACTTTACCATGGTTAATTTGAAAAGTTAAAAACACATACTTAGAAAATCATAAAAGTTCAGCTATTTGGGACTTCACACAGTAAGATAAACCACTGTAGTGCTCAAAGTTATTTTACTTTAAGTTATTTACTTTAAGTTATTTTTACCCACACAACCTAATGCTTTCTTTTAAATATGTCCATCTTAATAGAAGAACTGAACTTGGATAGATATAGTCCTACCTCCAAATCTTCTTCTTCATCAATCTTTTGTATGTTTTGGTAGGCAGCAGTGTAGACCTCTAAAGCTTTGCCATGAAATAACATTTCAATAGTGATAAATTCTGAAAATATAGTCTAAAAAAAAAACAAACAAAGATTTGAATTTAAACAATCATATGAATTTGTGAGTTTAGTAAATTTATTCCTTACTATAGTCTTGGCATTTTATGAAATACAAAGGTATCTCTTTTTCCACAGGGCAAATGAAGTACAAAAGATAACGGAAATAAAAATAGTTGGAAAGACCTTTTATAGCACAACCTTGGAAATTATACAAAATATTTCCTATCTGACCATTTACTTCCCTCTTATTTTTTAAGTTAGTTTTTGTTTACCTTGTAATTGACATTTGTGATAAAAAAAGATCTGACTAAAATGTATATACCATTATGTACTACTCTGTCACCATATGTTTAGAAGTATTAGATAAAGCAGGTCAGTTCTAAACCTGGTATTTTGTAATTCCAACTGATGTTTAAACAATAGAATGTTTTTTAGACAGGAATTATATCCCATCATATTTCTATGTGTTCTTGTATTCTCTAACCACAAAAGAATTACTTGGTAATTATATTGTTACCACTGATAATAGCATCATGGATTTGCATAGAGCCTTCCAGTTTACAAATATATAACTTGCCTAGTGTTGCTCACAGCTAGAATGTTGAAACTGATTCTTCAAAGGTTACAGTTCCTGCTTACTGTACTGTGCTATTCTTGCTGGAATCAATCATTTCTTTCACAAATAAACTGCACGTAAACCCTATGAACTTGATAACTTATGACAAGGAAGATGATGCACTAAGAGAATGAATGAAGGTGTACATGTTGATCTAAGCAGGGGTGAGATAGTCGGTAGGTAAGGAAAAGGATACAAACCAGACAAGTTTTCAATAAAATAGGATCTTATCCTTTTGTTATCTTGTCCCTTATCAAAATAAAAAATCAGGGCATTAAAGTAGAAAGAAGTGGGCAGAATAAGAATAAGGTAGAAAATACTCAAGCATTGTCTTTAAAGGGGCAAGAGAGAAGAGATGGGTTATAGAAGACAAGAGTCAAATATCCATTTCTCTTCATTCCTGCTCTCCTGTGTTTACTACCCAGATAGGAATGGTCCTGTACTTTGGAAGACAGTGTTAGTTATCCCTTAGTGTCCTTTAATTCCCCCACCCCCATCTCCATTCTTTCTTAAGGATTAGAAGAATATTTAAGGGAGTACTAATAGGTTTCTGATCACTACTCAATGTAAACAGATCTGTAGCAGAAAAGTATCTCTTCTGGTCTGCAAAGATTGGGCTCTGGGGTAAGACACAACTATGACTCAACAGTGACCCTTACTGTCAATTCCTGTAGGCCACAGAGGATTCTGGCATACTGCAGTGGCAACTAATAAGCAGCATTATGCCCAAGAATCTCCGGATATCCAGGAAATACCTTTGAGGTGAATTGGCTTGTGATTAGGACTGGGACTTAGAGACTCACTTAGTTGTCAGTCTTCCTAAGGTAGCTGCCTAGCTAGAAAGGAGTCGAGTGCCCTTTAGGAGTGTGGAAACTCCTAGAAGGAAAACAGCAGAACTAGGAGCCAATGATAAGCCAAAATACTGAAGACTCCTACTTAGTTCTTGGTCTGCAGCTCATTTTAGGTAATGGGAACAATCAAGCACAGGCTTACATTTTTCCTTCTGAATCTTAAATTTAGAGATTTTCTACATTTAGTAAATAAAGAACTATACAAAAAACTATAGACATAGTTTGACTTTATTTTTATTCAAGGCTGGAACAAAATTTTTTCATTTACTTAGGCTTAGAATTATACAATAAACCCTTAAACTTGTTTCAGGTAAGTACAGAGGGAGGTTGGAGAAGCACATTTTACAGTGTTACATAGTCAACTATGTTTTAGTTTTTCTTGGATATTTACAGACCATCTGTTTACTTACGTGGATAGAGAAGAGAAGGTGTTTACCTTATGCTATAAAAGTACCTGAGAAATAAAATAGCCTCAAATAAGGGATTAAGCTTAATCGATTAACTCAAGTGAGATAGGTGTTACTCCTATTTTTAAATATTTCCACAAATGACATTCTAAATCTTTAATAGATACACTATTTAGTAACTAGTGAAATCCAAACATTTACAACCTTATTACACCTAAATCTGTAGATTTAGGCTTAATTCAGTTCTATTCCACTGTGGTAATTTTGTGGAATATGTGAATATTTTAAAATATTTTTCAAATATGTGAATATAGTTATTAAATTTCTCATGGTCAAAATCTCTGTGTCATCTCTGAACTAAGTTATTTAATACTAGCATTTTATAGGATTTATATTCCCCTTAGCACATAAGCCCTGAAAAATACGTAGATATGTCTGTCAATACATTATTTTCTTTATTCATATCCTCTAATTAGAGAAACTACTGCATTCTCATTTTAAGACACTGATCAACTTTTAGTCTGTTACCATTTTCCAATTTCAAAATTTAGCTTTAATTAGTGATAAGTACTTTACAAATTATCTTTATAAATGGCTATTATTTACTACTTAGAAGGTGGGGGGAAATCACTCTCAAGTTTTGTGATACTTTGGTTTAATCTTCTATGGTTTGAACTTTTATTTCTTGACAAAACCTGTATTATAACACCTAAATAAGAGGAGAATGGCTCTACTGATTTTTTATACTGTTTATTTTTCTGTCAGAAACAGTAGTGGGAAATCACTACTGGTACTGGTAACCTAGTATCCCAGACTTGGAATTTTTGACCCAAGAGTCAATGAAGCCTAAAGATTATCACAGAGGAGAGTTATATCTCTGAGTATAGTCAGAAAAGAATACTGCCAATCATACTCTTTCTAGTTAGGATTTCATAAAATATCCGAAAATAGGCAGAAGGAGAATAATAGCAAGGAACATTAAAAGTTAGGTGACAACTAATGTAAGAAAGAATATAAAAAGCATGTTTTTGAAATAAAATATTTTCAGTGAATGACCAGAAGGGTGGTAGAACTTTCTAGGAACCAATCATAATTAGAAATAATTTTCCTCAAATAAATACAGCTAACTTTCAGTGATCTCATATAATCTTATCTGGAATGGGTCAGTATGATCAGGGACAGAAGCATTAATGATTTCTTTTTTTTCCCCTTTTCAATTTTATTTTGTGTGACCAGAAGGCAATTTGGGCACATACTTAATTTTTATTGGTGGGGGATGGGGGAGTTAATCTGAAATTCTTACCTGTTGGAAGTATTCTGTAAAGCAGGGGAGTATAGTAGTTAAGAATATAGGCTCTGGATTAAGATAAATCTGGGTTCCAATCATGACAAACATAAGAGCTATATAATATTAAGCAGTTTATATAATATGTTCTTTTCCCTAGTTTTTCTCATCCTTACAATGAGGATAACAACAGTACCAACCTCAGAGGTTTTGGGGTTAAGGACTAAATCAGATAATCCAAGAAAAAGTACAGTATGGTAACTGGTTTAGAATAAGTGCTCAAAACAAGTTAGCTATTTTTATTACTCAAGAAGTACACTTGCTAAGTTAGAAAATGTTCCTTTTCCTAATATTAAAGCCTCCATAGGATTTAATTAGCAAGTAAGACTTCTAACCAAAAAGTCATAAAAGGTCTAACATTTTGGCAAGTAAAGGGGAAATAATGGTTCTCCAGAGTAGAGGCTATTCAATAAATGATGTCAAGAGAAATTTTATCTACTTGAAAAGAATGAAATTAGATATCTACCTCATACCATATGCAAAACACAACTACCAGATAAAATGCTTAAATATTTAAAACTTTTAGATATCACAAATACTAGAAGAAAATATAAGCAAGTATTTATACAAACTTAAGGATGAAAACAACCTTTGTAAGCATGACACCAAGTCAGAAACCAAAAAGGAGAAGACCAACAGATCTGGCAACAAAAATAAAACTTTAAGGCAAAAACACACCATAAACAAAATGGGAAAATACATTTACAACATATCTTCTCTATAATATAAGGGGTTAATTTTCTCAATATAAAGACTTTACAAATTCATATGAAAAATACCAATATTCAATAAAAATATAGGCTAAGGAAAAATGTGGGTAATTTACTAAAGAAGAAATGTGTCATTAAATATATGAAAATATTCCATCTTAGTAGTAACTGCAAATTAAGATGACACTGATTCCTTCACCTGTCAGATTAGTTATTATTAAAAATACTGCTACTCTTCATTAGTACACTGGGTTACTCATGCAAGGTTTTGTAGAAATGCTAGTTAAAATTTTGTGGACATAAGTTTAAAGCTTTGTGGACAGACGGTATCAAAATTTAAAGGGTGCATGCTCTTTGAATCAGAAATGCCACTCTGGTAATTTATCTGAAAAGAATAACTGGATCAACAAAAAGGCCAATGTTTAATGATGCAATGAGATTTATAATCGCAAAAGTAACCTAGATATCCACCAATAAGGACTGGTTAGATAAAGTAATACATCCATAGGAAAATACTATGAGGATACCAAAAAGGATGATATGCATCTCTTTTTCTTAGCAAATATGCCCATGATATATATTAAATTTTAAAAAGTGATGCTACATACAGTGTGGTTCACTTAAATATAGCTCTATGTACAGGGGAAATGCTATCATGCTCCTCATAAGGATGTGAGGAGTAAATGAGTTTATCCACATAAAATGCATATAATATGTGACATAGTCAATACCTAAGAAAATTTGTTATCATATCTATTGTGTATATGTGCATAGAAAAAAAACTGGAATGATATAAACCAGAATGCTAACTGATTATTTCTGAGTAGTAGGATTATTACATTTTTCTCAATAATTTTGTGAAAAAAATTTATCGTGATTTTTATTTAGTTGTAAGAAAAATAAAGCATTTAAAAATTAAATTTAGAAGATGTTTCTTGCTCACGTTAGCTACTTTGCCACATTCTCCGTTCTAGGAGTCACCTCTGGTCAAGATCTTTTCTATAGATCTGAAATTCCCTTGACATTCACCCTATAACTGATGACTTTTCCGATTACATGGGAAGCAAATGGGACTGTGATTTTTTTTTAAGAGAGAGAGGAGGAGGAATGAGCAGGGGGAGGGGCAGAGAGGGAGAGAGAGAATTTTTAGCAGGCTCTATGCCCAGCATGGAGCCCAGTGTGGGGCTCCATCTCCTGATCCTGGGATCATGATGTAAGCCAAAATCAAGAGTCAGGATTTTTAACTGCTTAATGGACTAAGCCACTCAGGCACCCCAGGGACTGTGATTTTTCATTCACATTGTGTACAATAAGTTCCATAACAACTTTTCTCAGAAAGACAAATTTTTTGCAAGGTTCCTATGAAAAGTATCTAAAAATTGTGCTACCTTGCTGATTAATGCTGCTACCAAAATTCAGATGGACTTGTAAATTAAACCCGCCTCGAACACAGTAGTACAGTTACCAGCAGTGCTCACTCATTCTGCCCCGTGGGAGGTTAAGGAAGGAGCCAGAAGCTCTGTCCCCATCTGAAGCAGTAGCCTGATAACAGGTAAGAATGAGAATGTTCTGATGTTTCTCTCAAAATTATGAGTGGCATCAACGATTTTTACTTTTCTAAGAATTTTTCTCATAAACAGAAATGTGAGACATGCTTAACATCAACAAAGGGGGGCAATAATGTAACTCTTTTTGACTTGTCTTTGAGGCTTCTGGTATGGGATTTGTGCATCCCTCTTCATCATAAAAGATCTCAAATGAGGCCTGACTTGGAAAAGAAACAATTTGATACTGAGGAGGAAAGATGTATAAAAGGGGAATTCAGAACCATAACAGAGTTCAATATCAACCTCTGGAAACCATTTCTGGAAGTTTGCTAGATCATGGGGGTCTGCATTTAAAGTGTAGGTCGTCACAGATGACATAATCTTGTAAGTAGAAAATCCTAAGCGATCTACTAAAAAACTATCGGTGCTAATAAATGAGTTCTGCAAGGTTGCAGAATATAAGATCAGTGTGCAAACATAAATTATTTGTGTGCATTTGCAATGAACAATCCAAAAATGAAATTAAATAAACAGATCCATTTACAATAGCATCAAGAATTACAAAATACTTAGGAAAAAGTTTAAGAAAAGAAGCACAAAACTTACACTTTGAAAACTACAAACACAGTTAAAAATACACTAAGGAATATTTAAATAAATGGAAAAATATCCCATGTTCATGGATTGGAAAAATTAATTTTAAGACGGCAGTACTCCCCAAACTGATATACAGATTTGATGCAATCCCTACCAGAATCCCACTTGACTTCTTTATACAAACTGACAAGCTGATTCTAAAATTCATACAGAATTGTAACAGATCCAGAATAGCAAAACAATCTTAAAAAAGAACAAAGGAGACCTCATACACCCTGATTTTAAAATTCATACAAAGCAATGCTAATGAAGATAGTGTGGTACTGGCATAAGGAGAGACCTATAGATCAATGAAAGACAAAGTCCAGAAATAAAACCATTTCAACAAGAGTTCCAAGACTATTCAATGGGAAAGAATAGCTTTTTCAAAAATCGTGCTTGGGCAACTGGACAGTCACATGCAAAAAGATGAAGTTTAACCTTCAGTTCACATCATACATAAAACTTAACTCAAGTGGATCAAAGGCTTAATTGAACCATGAAAACTATACAACTATTAGAAGAAAGCAGATAAATCTTCAAGATCTCAGATTTGGCAATGGATTGATAGATAGGACAAAACAGAAGCCACAACAACAAAAAATACATTGGACTTCATCAAAATTACAAATTTTCTGCTTCAAGGAACACCAAGATATTGAAAAGAACCCTAAGAATGGGAGAAAATAATTTCAAATCATAGATCTGAAAAGGGACTTGTATCCAGAATAGATAAAGAACTTTTACCACTCAATAATAAAGACAACCCAATTAAAATATGGGCAAAGGATCTGAATAGACATTTCTTCAAGGAAGATATACAAATGGCCAATAAGCATTAGTAGGGAAATGCAACTGAAAACCACAATGAGATACCATTTCACACCTACTAGGATGGCTGTACTGAAAAAGTCTGATGAACAGCAAGTACTGGTGAGGATGCAGAAAAATCTGAACCCTCATATTACTGGTGGGAATGTACAATGGTGCAGAAGTTTCTCAAATGATTAAAGATGGGGTTACCATATGATCCAGCAATTTAATTAGATATATATGTAAGAAAAATTAAAATATATGTCCATACAAAAACTTGTACATGAATGTATCATTAATCAAAATAGCCCAAAGGTGGGCGCCTGGGTGGCTCAGTTGGTTAAGTGACTGCCTTAGGCTCAGGTCATGATCCTGGAGTCCCTGGATCGAGTCCCGCATCGGGCTCCCTGCTCGGCAGGGAGTCTGCTTCTCCCTCTGACCCTCCCCCCTCTCATGTGCTCTCTCTCAAATAAATAAATAAAATCTTAAAAAAAAAAAAAATAGCCCAAAGGTAGAAACAACCCAAATGTCCATCAACTGATGAATGGATAAACAAAATGTGGTTATATCCATATAATGGAATATTTGGCCATAAAAAGGAATGAATTACACTGATAGGATACATGTTATGATATGAAAACATGTATATAGCTAATATACATATAACATACATATATATAGCTAATAATGAAAGCATGCTAAGTGAAAGAAGCCAGTTATAAAAACCATGTTATGATTCCATTCACATGAAATGGCCAGAATAGCCAAATCCATAGAGACTTCAGATTAGTGGTGGTTACTTAGGGCTGGGGTGGGGATGGGAGGGTTGGGGTGTGGGAAGCAGCAAAGTACTAGGTCTTACTTTGAGGTGATAACAGTGTTCTAAAATTGAGTGGTAATGGCTGCACATATTGGAACACACTAAAAACCACTGAGTTGTACATTTTAAATGGGTGAATTGTATGGTGTATGAATTCTATCTCAATTTATTAAAAAGTAGGTTTCTTCTTGTCTTACATTTTTGGTGACCACCAAGAGACTTCCTTCCAGGGGCATAATACCGTAGGCAAAGAGAAAAGCTTGAAAGCCCCTTTCTTCTTTGTGCACCCTCCACTCTGCAGTCCCTCTATGTCCTAATGCTTCAGGAATTATAGGAATTGCAGTTGGGAATTCTGCACTCACTCACTCTCTGCCCATTTTGTAACTGGTGGTTGCTCAGGGAATTAAAAACATCTGTAGAGGTAGTCTGAACCTGAAGTGAGCCCAAAGATCAGAGACACAGACTGCCACGTGTAAAAGAAAATTTTGCGGGCATGAGGAGCAGTGGTGGATCCACGTGAGGAATCAGACTGCCACCACTAACGAAGCCCTTAGGTGGCAATGGAATCAAGCATACCTCACAAGTCTCCATTCTCATCGTTCAGATTAAAGCTAATTATTTTAATAACCTTCCTTTCCCCCTCAATTTAAGAGATGATGTCAGCAAGTGTAAAACATTATATCCCACCCACACTCTCTCACCTCAGTAAATTGAGTTTGTCTCAGGGCAGCTTTCTGAGATGCTCTTCATGCATTTACACAGCAGAGTGCAAAGTGAATTGAGAGGCTTTAAAAACAGGTTTTTGGTCTTCAGGACCAAACTAGAGACCTTTGAGCATGGCTATCAGAAAAATCAAAGTTCTGAAATTGTTTGAAACTATGATGGGGGGTGGTGGGGAAGGTGCAAATGAATGTTAATTCATGGACTTTAAAAAGGAATGATTATTAAGTGGCATATGGTGCTTATTTTATTGATAAGAACATAACTTTTGAAAGCAGGATGTTTTCTTTGTTAATAGTTATAAAATGACAAAAATATTTTTCTTTAAAGCTTGATCCTGGAAAATTTGCAGTGAGCCAAAACACATCCTAGATGACTTGTTTTAAAGGACTTACTATGGTCACAAGCAATCCTCCAAATCTGTCCAGGTGCCTATGAAAAAGTCACTGAAGACCTTCTGAAGTCCATGATCCCAAGGGTGTCAAATCTACTGGCTTTTTACAATAAAATAAGGCAATTCTTGTGATACCATATCATGGTGGATGCAACTTTATGTGGTTGGCTACTCTCACCTATTCATTTATTTGATAAGATGTAGTTACTAGAGAGTACTTAATGAGAGTGTATTATAATGGAAAGCACAGATGTTTAAAATACATAATTGTTTATAGTTCAGATTTTTGGCTATGATACTTTGGGTAAGTTACTTTATATCTCTGCTTAAATTTCATAAGATATGGATAACACCACCTCATTCTTATGAGGTTGCTATAATATAAGATTAAAAGATAATACATATTTGGTGCCTGTAATAGCACTGGATGCACAAGAACATAATAAATGTTAGTTTCCTTTGATTAAATAGTACTTGTGATAAGCTGAGTATCTGAGGAAATGGGAAAATAACATTTCGTATTTCTTATTTATAGTATCTTTTTCATATAGACTATGGGCTAAAAAAATTAGTAATTTAAATTTTTTACACATTTAAATGAAACAATAACATTAGAAAACATGTTTTGAACTTTAAGTTACTTTATTACCTTTATATCCTTTATTTTCTGCTTTTCAAAATTGTCAATAGTTTCCTCCAGATGACGAGTTGTTCGGGTAGCATCCATTGTAGCTCTCTGCAATTCAGTTTCTGCCTGCAAAAGAATTCCCCAACCAAAGATAAAAAAAAATTCAAGTTAGAATCCATTCAATTGAGTCTATTTGTAAATGTTACCATTACACTACTGGCTTTTTGGCATAACAACCGTAAATTGTTCAATAGTATATTTTACCATATAAAGTAAGATGATTTATATAATAAGCACGTGCAGAATAAAGAACTTTAAATCTGTTAAGTGACATGATTCCTGACCTCACACGAAAGAAACCAAAACTCCTTCCCTTTCTTCCTACAAAACCATTTTTTTCCCTATATTACCCTTGGATTATTTACTGTAAAACAATTTTATACATTTTCTACTGCTTTCACCTATTTCACTGTCTGTGTCATTTATCATTCTATTCTTTTTCTTCTCATTCTTTCCCCTTTAACGCTTTCTCTCCAAAAAAGGACCCATGACTTAAGTAATTTTCTAGTTCTCCAAATGCATTAAATGTTTCTAATCTTATAATATCCTAATCAGATATGGCAGAATATATACTATAAATATTTATTTCAGCACGGGGTATATTTGTATATTCTTCTTAGAAGCTAACAATATGACACTGTTACCATTTAGTTAGTGCTTAGTACAAAAGATATATATACCAGTAACAAATTAGATGACAACTCTAATGCTTTGCTTCATATATTGTAATGACAACACTCATACTACTGTATAATCAAGTGGTAGCCAGCAGCCACATGTGGCTATTTACATTAAGATTAAATGAAAATTTAAAAACTATGTCCTCATTTACTCTAATTGCATTTCAAGAGCTCAATAGCCATATATTGCTAGTGGCTACAGTAAAGGGCAGAACATTTCCAATCTACTCATGTATTTCTCTTAAAAAAGCATCTCTTACTTTAGAACAGTTGTTGCCCAAAAATATTTAAAATATTTTGTTAAACAGTAGAGGTTTTAAAAAACATAGCCTAATTTTCTGATTAAATTCTTTCTAATAGTTTTGTTTCCTATACTAATGTAGTATATTTACTCAAAAGTATCAAATATCATCCTTTAATAATTAATCCATGGGAAAAATGTGCATTTGTCATCAAAGTTTAGTGACACATATCATTCTGACATTTAGCCCTTGCTTTCAAGAAAAGATATAAATTGAAATAAGTAAAAGAGTTTACTATAAGGATCCATTTCTTGACACACCACTTTATTACCCACCTGTGACTGAAATTTTTCATAAAGGAAAAAATACATTTCAAAGAGAACAATTTTTTAAATTAAAATCATATGCTCCCAGAATTATATAATCTTGCAATTATACATTAATTATAACTTCATAGTGATTATGTACTCTTACATTTAGATTAACTCAAATGAACGATTTTAAGATACTAAGTGTAAAAGAATATTTTTATACGTATGTGTGTGTACATTTGCCATATAGGGTGTAAAGTTTTTTAAAACCATATAAACTTTCAACTTTTTTTTTTTTAAAGATTTTATTTATTTATTTGACAGAGACAGAGACAGCAAGAGCAGGAACACAAGCAGGGGGAGTGGGAGAGGAAGAAGCAGGGTCCCCTCTGAGCAGGGAGCCCCATGTGGGACTTGACCTGAGCCGAAGGCAGCTGCCGAACAACTGAGCCACCCAGGCGCTGCTAAACTTTTAACTTTTAATCATACCCAGTAATCAAAAATAATTTTCTATATTGCTGGGCTTGAGATTTTTAAAAATATACCTTCATCACAGGAAATTCAAAAGTAAAATAGAGCTCCTTTATAGATTCGTATGAAAAATTTCTAACAGTTATTTGATGCACGTTAACCTACTAATGAGAATAAGCAAGCAGACTGACTTCTTAATACTATTACATGTGACTCATATAGTTCTTCACTTGTGACTACTTCCTTTTGACTTATGTCTTTGCCCTCCCCATTTTATTGATAAAAGAAACAGTTTTAAAATTTAGATGGGTAGGCAGAATTGGCTAAACCAAGGGAGAGTGGGGAAGCAGAAACTACAGCTGGTACATCTTACTCTTCCACCACCCTCCAGCAACTACTATTTGTTTCTGAAAGTCTCAAATCCTTTTACTTAGGCATAGCAACTCACCCAAAATTATACAGCTATTTTTAGCAAAGAGGATATGGGTTTCTATTTCTTCTTTTTTTCTGAATATTCTTCAAAATCCTATAATGGGTCAAGTTGAGTAGCAAATGCTTTTGATTAAGATACTATGATATAACTCTGAGTAGAGGTATCAGTATATTTAATGAAAAAATGGCTTCTGAAACGGTGAGCCAGAGCCCTGAGATTCTTCTTTACCCCATCCTCTTCTATCAGTGCTACTCCATGTTATTTTACGTACTGAACTTTAACATACCTCTTTTGAATTGTCAGATGAATTTTAAGGGTCCATCCTGGTAAATATTCTGTAATGCTATGAGTGGATATTTTTATATTTATATTGAATACGTTTATATTTAGATTGTCCTTTATTTTCTACAATAGTCTTAGGTTGTCAAAATCCACTCACTTTCCCAGTGAGCACAGCAGTTCACCTACAGCAATAATCTATTCCTTTGTTGTATTTATTTCCCCCCATGGGAACCCAATTCTAGTTTCATCTACAGTGTAAGACTACCTCCTCCACGGCAGTGTTCACAACAGACCATCTAAGTCAGAAACATCCTTGTCTTAGGAATATTCATTTCTGTGTTGAGTCTCCATACCATTACCCGATTCAATCCTACCAACTACTCAGGATTCCAGATGTGACATTTTTCCTGCCTTTATGTATTTTTCTCCAAACAAAACAATAAAATTTTGACCTCTTTCTTAAAAACTGGTGACAACCTGGTCTCTCCCTTAGTCCCTAGTTGTCAGTCATAAATTTTTCATCATTCTCTGGTTTGCCTGACTTGCTTAAAACCCAGACTCCATAATCTAGTTGTAGATCTTAAGCCTCAATGAGATGTTCCTGTCCCAGCCTCCAATGGGCACTTCCAAGCCCTATGGCTGCCCACTTTTGTTTATTTCAAGGTTGGGCATATGTACCTTTGGTCCAAAGGAAGGAGGACCAGGCAATTGGTATAGCCCCAAATCACTGCTCAAGGGATTCCCCTCAGGAATGGAGGTGCTCTGCAACTTCAAATGCCCCCATAGAGCCACTCCTCCTGTGGTTTCTGGCTGAGCTGGGCAGTAAAAACCTTTAGGAAGTAGGAAGGAGACATAAGAAGGAATGGGAAAAAGAGGCAGCGGGATAAATTAGTACTTTCTATACAATTGCACTTATCCCAATTGCTGGCAATTAGCCAGGCACTATTTTCTATTTTTTAGTCATGAACAAGGCACATCATTCTTAACAGAAGAGCCTTGTTACAGTAGACAGCCCTATCTAGATCCTTTTGTGTCCAGCTATGAACCTCAATTTTACTCTAGAATCTCCTGAAGGTCTTTGGCTGCTAGTCCTAATTGTGGTTTCACATTGTTATTGTTTTTAAAGGTGAAAGGAATTATACTGGGGAAAAATGACTCTTCCTTCCTTTTCTCAAAAGTGGGGCAGACAGGGCATTGATATATTGGATTCATGATAGATCTTTAAGTTCATTTTAAAATTAATATTCAGTCATCATGTGAAAAAAAACCTCAGAATTCTGAACTTACTTTTTATAAAAACATCAACGTTTTAAGTGTCTTTTTTTTTTTTAGTATCTATTCTGGAAAACAATATGAGGGGATTGAATTAGGTGGTGTATTCTCTTTATAATTAGTTGATTTCTATAATGAGAATTTGTAAATGCATGTGTTTCTTTTCAACCTTTATATTAAAATTTTCTGCAAATTTAAAAGCAGAAATGCGTAATTTCCATATATATTTACTTTTGTACAGCATACCTTACAAAACATTTTTTTAAAGATCAAAAGTCAAAGGATACAATAACATGTCGATCCGATGGATTTCGCTGACGTGTTCTTTCTAACTGAGTTAACTGTTTAGCTTCTCGATTCCTTGCTGTTAATGTTGCTTTGAGGTCATCCTGAAAATAAGCATTTTTGATTAATGAAAATCTCTGATTTAAGAAATAAAATATACACACTCTGTTTTAAGAATGGGAAAACACTCCTTGTTTGGTCCAGGCATTACCAGCACAGGAATTATTACTGCAAAATTAGTGTGTGGTCTTCGTGTGAGAGTGTGCACATGTGTGTTTCTTTAACACCCTCTCAAATAATGACACAGACAATTTCAATGCAAACCTTTGACCACATATATAATTTTATATACATACATATAAAATTTTGATTGTGGTGGTAGTTATATGTGTATATACATTTGTCAAAACTCAATGAACACTTAAAACAGAAGAATTTTATTGTCTGTAAATTATACCTCAAAGTTGGTTGAAAAAACAGAACTTGGGGTTGTAACATACAGTATGGTGACTATAGTTACTAACACTGTATTGCATATTTGAAAGTTGTTAAGAGTACATCTTAAAAGTCCTCATCAAAAGAAAAAAAATTTCTAACTATGTATGGTGATGTATGTTAACTAGACTTGTGGTGGGTATTTCGCAATATATCCAGCTACTGAATCATTATGTTGTACACTTGAAACTAGTATGTCAGTTATACCTCAATAAAAAAATACAACTTTGTCATACTCACTTCTAGTCTACATGTTATTGCCTGCTTTAAAATGAAAAATATAATCTTATGTTCATTTAGTAAAATAAGTTCTTCATGACTATAAATATTAATATTTTAAAGTTTCTGTAATAACCATAGCAAGGTTTACTTCGTAAGCTCATTAAAAATATTTCATTATTCACAAAGTTCTAAGAAATGATGCTTCACAGAGTGTGTAAAAAACTGTATAAACTACGTTGTAGTTTTTATTAAGAGGACAGTTATTGGAAACCTCATACTCTTTGCCATAATAGTTAATAATAGTAGGAAAATGAATTTACTTACTCGTTTCATTTTTACAATGGTTCCATAAGCTTTCAAAGGTTCAACTACTTTGGCTTCAAGTCTTTCAACCTATTGAAAATTATTATAAAATATAACTGAAAAGAAACATAGACATATCAAAATTTAAATTCTGAAATAAAACCTGGGCTATTTAACCTGAACATAATTATTACACAAAGTAATGTTTTAAAATGTTTAAAATGTCACAGTTTATAAGTAAAAGAATAATCACCAGCAATTGATAAAATTCAGAATCTAAACTCAAACACAATAAAAGCTGTTAAGATGTAGAGTAACACTGAAAGCAGAAAAGCACCTAGTATGCAATATGGCAAGAAAACATTTCAGGTTTCTAAGAAATTTATCTCTGCCATACGATCATCTCTGTATTATTTTTCTTCATTATAGTAGCTTTTGGGTAAGTTTCAAGACATCTCACATATTAGTACAGCTACCAATTTCAGTGTGTTTAGCATAGTATTGGATATTTTACATATATTATCTCCGAAATGTAATAGTCCAACTTTCCAGATAAGAAAACTGAAGCTGAAAGATACAGCATATTGAAAAAATTTAAAGCGACACAATCCTCAAAGCAAAAAGAACTGTATTAGCTGCAATCCTTTTCTCGGAAGCCATTTGTAAATTACCAAAGCTTGGAGAAAAAGATAAATGGTGTCAGTGTTGCTGAGCTGTCAAACTGCATGGTTGATCTTTTATTTAGAATTAAACTGTTTTTCTTCTTTTTTTTTTTTTTTTTAAGATTTTATTTATTTATTTGAAGAGAGAGACACAGCGAGAGAGGGAACACAAGTAGGGGGAGTGGCAGAGGGAGAAGCAGGCTTGGCCGAGCAGGGAGCCCGATGCGGGGCTCGATCCCAGGACCCTGGGATCAGGACATGAGCCGAAGGCAAACGCTTAACGACTGAGCCACCCAGGCGCCCCTAAACTGTTTTTCTTAAACATTACGATTTTTATCACGTTTTGAGTAATTACTTTCTTTAATAGCACTAGTGGAAGGCACAGAAGATATGGGCTTTTTAAAGGCAAATATAGCATAAGAAAAATAACTCCTGGACATTAAAATTTTCTTTATCAGGACAGGTAACACAAGATGACATTAATTGTTTAAAATGAACATGTATTATTTTTGCAGCAGGAAGAAGGCTTTTTTTGATGATACATGTTTATATAGTACATTTCATTTCATATTGATTTTTCTATAAACAAAATGTATATGAATTTTTCACTTTAAAAGATTTTAGGAAAATGAAAAAAATCAGGTTCTCATTGAGCATTTAAGTATTAGGAATCCTAAAATCAAAACCATGAATACTCAGGATAGTTTCGTCTATCTACCATTTCGAATAATCCATACGCTGATTACTCAGTGCAAGGATTATTCAAGTCTTTTTTTTCTGTTCTCCTTTTTGTCGCCTACCTTTTTTGTTCATTGTTCATTAGCACCTCCACCATTTGGTAAGCAAGGGAAATAAAAAGGAGAACAAATGTAAATCAATTCACTTTGCTATTTGATAAATAGCATAAAGCTTTTCTAGAAAGGGGCATTGAAATTATTGTCTTAACATAGGATTTTAGGGTTATCAGTGAGTATATATTATTTTTGAAGTCCCCAGTTAATGTGTAACTCAGAGTTGCTTGTTTATTATAGAATATCATATGACAAGAACTCAACTTTTCCCAAAAAGTACCCCCAAATGTAATTACTACTCAAATTTTGGTACGAATAACAAGTATAGGTTCAAAGATCATTATCTTCACTTTGTTTTTGTGATTTTTTTTGATGACGGAAATTTCTGTATTAGGCTTTTAAAAAGTACCAAAAACACTGATGAGAGGAGTACAAGAGAAGCAATACAGCTTCTAACTGGGCAACTTCTAACATTTAACCTGTATCTTGAAAACTAATATAAATATAAGTGAAGGTGCTTATGAGGTATTAAAAGTAAAAACGAGCTTTTAGAAAGAAAACAATTACAACACCACCTTCTTCCCTCCCTTCCAAAGCAAAAAAACCAAAACCAAAAAAACCAAAACGACCCCACAGTCTCACTAGTACCTATGATATCAATCAGTTAATCAATGCTGCTTTTTTTTCTTTTTGTCAATGAAATATTGGTCAACTTTCCAGAGCATTGAAGCAACAAAGATCTCTTGTCCGTTCATTACTTATTCACTCACATTACGACTCTCAACATCTTCCATCTCCAGACATACTTTAAAATATACTTACGTGCACACCAGACACAAGTCATGCTCCTTTTCTTCCCCATGGGTACTATGTTTACTACCCCTGTAAATAGCCACCCCTTGGCCAAAAGCTGGCAAATGAAGTGGGGAAATTCAGGACTTCAGGGCACCCTAAAGTTTAGTTTGAAAACGGTAAAATCACAAATCACAGGAAGCTTCCCTCTAATAGACTCACAAAATGTTACATGAAAATGTACGTTTATCATCAAGTGTGCGTTCGCCACTGCAGTTAGGTGGATTACAAGTGAAAGTCTTCACGGGTTCTTCATCCACTACTTCAGGGCTCACTCATAACAATGACGCTGTGACCTCCATACCTCTGCTTGTCGATAATCCTGAAGTTTGGCAAACTCATCAGCAAAGTTTTTCAGGCCCTGCTTTAAATTTGGGGTCTCTGTAGAGGCATACACGTTGATTTCATTCACCAGTAGATCTGCTTTGTCTCGCAGTCTGGCAGTTTTCCGCACATAAGCAGCAAAGATTTGGCACAGCTCTCCGAAATGCTTCTCCACATTTGTGACAGCATCTTGCAGTTGTCTGGTTTGAGCGTCCCTAAAGAAAAAAATAACACAAAACGCAAATCATTCTCATTAGAGATGAGAGGGCTTCATCTCCACGTTAATTTGATATGCAAACATTCCCGGGGCATTTTGCAGCTTCGAAGGCACAAACCATCAACGATCCCACCATCTCCGAGGGGCGGATTCTAGTCCTCTAGGTCCCCTTTTGGGGCCTGGCCTCAATACCCCCGACAGTGTAGGCGCACGAAGAGGCCGGGCTCTGGCCAGCCGCGCCGCTGTGGGGCGGCGGATGCTAGGGCTGCTCGGCGAGGCCTGGGCGCCCCGCTGCCTCCCAGCCGTCTGCACAGCCCGCGGCCATGCGGGGCCCGGCGCCCGGGAAGCGTGATCCCCGAGATCGCCCATCCCACCCCTGGCCTCCGGGGCTTGCTGCAACCAGGGGGAGGTAGGCCCCAGAGCGCAGCGCGCTCGGCCCAGACCCCGGCCCAGGCTCGCAATTCGGCACGGAGGCCCCACGGAGAGAGGCTCCACTTCCCCTACCCGAGTCCTCGCAAGGGGGGAGGGGGTGGCCCCGGTCAGCGGAGGCCCCGGGGCTGTTACCGGTTTTCCATGCTGCGCCTCAACATGTTGCCTTGCGCACGGCCGGGGACCCTGATCGGGGCCCAACGACCTGGGCTCGGAGGCGCCCGACCGTGCGCCGGGGCGCGAGCCGCCGCCTCCTGGAGCCTGAGAGCCCGCCCCGCGCGCCGCCGCGCCGGTTCCGGCGTTTCTACGGCAACGCGGCGCGTCCCCGGGCTCAGGGCCCGAGTCGGCGGGAGCGCGGCGAGGGGAAGCCGGGGGGCGGGCCGCGGCGCCCAGCCCGAGCCCCTCCGGCGCGTTCGCCTGGCGCTTTCCTTCCCGCCGAGCGTGGCCGGCGCTCGCTGGCGGGCCTTCCGTCCGCGTGGAGAGCCGCGCTTACCAAACACGCCTCCAGTCAGTCCTTCCAGCCTGGACTGCGAGCCAAGGAGGGAAAAAGCCAATCAACCAGCAACTAGGAGGGAAACGTACAAGTAAAGGCCGGTGGGGTCCAGTTACTGCTTCTGCGCCACTTAGCCTTGGGACATCTGCTCAGCGTGTCCGCTTGCCTGGGGTGAATCTGAAACTGTGGGCTCTTGGGAAGCTGCCTTTGGTAAGAGCGATGCTTACCGTCTCCTCTTGAACTTTTCATTTTTTCAGCAAATATTTGTTGAGTTCCTATTTTCTGGAAAAGATCGTGTTAGACACTGGACTAATACAAAGATGAGAAGAGAGGACCCTCATCTTGAAGGACCTTAGAGTTCGATGCGGTGCCGACCACTTAAACTGTTGAACAGTACGCTCGGAGACAAAAAAAAACAAGCAGGAGACTTTTCTTTGCCTTTGAGCACCCATGTTCTTTGGGCTCTTTTGGCCTTCCCTTGTGCTGCTCTTCCAAGTAAACACTGTTAGTACTAAATCCAAGTTTTCTGTCTCTCAAGAACTCTCTCTTGACAACTCTCACATTTCTGTCTTCCTGACAGCGTTCTTCACTTAGTCTAGACTGGGCTCTTGGAGGTAGAGGAAATGTAATTTTGGTCTTATATTCCCCAGTGCCTTATGCTGATAAAAGTATGTTTTGGACAAATGGATGTCCCCAGTCCTTTGTTACCTCTCTTAGGAAACTGCCCTTATTCTCTTATGTTACAATGTATTCCTCTCTTCGCCCCCTTGCATTCATTCAGCAAGTTACCTATTGAATGCCTCTTGTATTCCAGATACTATGCTGGGCTCTGAGCATGGAGTGGTAAACTAAAATCAGAACAGTCTTTGCTCCTGTAGAGCTCATAGTCTCCTCAGAGGGATAGACACTAATCAAATAAATGCATGTAAAATTACAGAGGTATGTGCTACCGTATCTACTTTTGCTCTGTAACAAACCATGGCAAAACCTAGTGGCTTATGACAGCCCTTTGGCTAACTCAGCGTTCTGTGAGTGGGCTGGGGTTCTTGTATTTTGGTCTGCTCAAATGGGCTCTTTTATATCTTTTTGGTCATCTGTGGGTCAGCTGGTGGCTGGATGAGCTAGGACGGCCTCGCGCACAAATCTAGGGGTGGGAAGTCTGTCAGCAAGGGCAACCTGTTAGTGACCACTTTTGCAGTATAATGTAGCTACTAAGGAAAAGTACATGGTGCCAAGATAGCATATACTTAATATAGAAGTTTGGTTTGAACTAGTTGGGGAAAGTACTTCATTGAGAAAGTGACATTTGAACTGAGATCCAAAGATTGGGGAGGGCTCCTGGGTGAATAAAGAGGGAAAACCTGGGGCGCCTGGGTGGCTCAGTTGGTTAAGCGACTGCCTTCGGCTCAGGTCATGATCCTGGAGTCCCGGGATCGAGTCCCGCATCGGGCTCCCTGCTTGGCAGGGAGTCTGCTTTGCCCTCTGACCCTATCCCCTCTCATGTGTTCTCTCTCATTCTCTCTCTCTCAAATAAATAAATAAAATCTTAAAAAAAAAAAAAAAAAAAAGAGGGAAAACCAGTCCAGAGAGAGGGACAGCATAGGCAGACTTCCTTCCTCCCACCCCCAACCCCATTCCCATCTACCCTAACTTTCATGTCTCAGAAAATGGAACTACCCCCCAACTGATTATTCAAGCCAAAAACCCTGGAACCATCCTTTCTTTTCCCCAGGCACACTGACAATTTCCATCTGTCCCACCTCCAAAACATATCCTGAATCATTCCTTTTTCCTTTCTTCTGCATTACCATAATGCCAGCTACTATCATCATTCACCTTTACTGCAAATCCTCCTTGCTGGTCTCTCCACATTCACAGTTACACACTGCAGTGCAAAATAAAACATGCAGAAAAAGGTTGTCAACCAGGAAGAGGCTCTCAGGCTGGACACCGGACCAGCCTGAGTTTCTGATTCAGGAAGTCTGGAGTGAGAGCCAAGAATATACATTTATAACAAATTCTCAGCTCACAAATTCTGAAGGCTCTCACTGGACACAGCCTTCAGAACTGTGAGAAGTAAATTTCTGTTTTTTATAAGCACCCAGTTTATGGTAGTTTTGTTTTGTTTTCTTGTGGGGGGTTTTGGGGTTTTTGTTTTTTGCTATAGCAGCTTAAATGGATTAGAACAGACTCCCACTATGCTTAAAATCAAATTGTAAATCTTTACCCTGGCTATGAAGGCTGTGTCTCAGTCTTGCCTAACCAGCTACTTTCACTGCCCCACTATGTTATAGCTACAGTATCTTTCTGGTCCTAGCCTGTATCAAGCTCATTTTATTTAAAAATTTTTTTATTTTTTTAAAGATTGTATTTATTTATTTGCCAGAGAGAGAGAGAGCACAAGCAGGGGGAGTGGCAGGTCAGAGGGAGAGGCAGACTCCCTGCTGAGCAGGGAGCCCGATGTGGGACTTGATCCCAGGACCCCGGGATCATGACCTGAGCCCAAGGCAGACGCTTGACCGACTTAGCCACTCAGGCATCTCTCAAGCTCATTTTAGAATCGATTTTGTGTTTGTTATTTTCTCTGCCTAGAACACTCTTCTCTCAGATCTTCACATGACTGGCCCCTTCTTATCACAGAATTCTGTAGGCACAGAATGAGGTTTTCTCTGATCACCTCATTATTACCATATCACTGTTTTGTTTCCTTTGAAGCATATGTCACTCCCTGAAGTTAACCTATTTGTTTATAGGCTATTTCTGTCTCCCATGACTAGAATATATTCTGCATGAAACTAGGCACTTTGCTATCTTGTTCATATTCTCTGCAGCACCAAAGTCCTTGATTCATTGTAGGAACTTAGTTATTAGTTGAATTTATCAATGAAAAAATGAGTGAGTGAAAACCCCATGACAGTGAGAGCATGGTGTGTTTGAGGAAATGGAAGAAAATCAATGAAGCTGGAGTAGGGGTGGTGGGCATCATGATATGTGATGTAGTTGGAGTGGTAGGGAGAGGTCAGTTCATGTAAGGCATTTTAGCCATGCTAAGGATTTGGTCCTTGCATTAGAGTTCTTCAGAGAAACAGAACTAATAGTATATATGTATATATTACTAAATATAGTGTGTGTGTATATATATGTTTTTATTATTTATCTATCTATCCATCCATACGGTTTATTATAAAAGAATTGGCTCATGTGATAATGGAGGCTAAGTCCCAAGATAAGCAGTCAGCAAAGCTGGAGTCCCAGGAGAGCTGATGGTATGAATTCCAGTCCAAAAGCTGGCAGACACAAGACGCAAGAAGAGCTGATATTTCTGGCTGAGTCTAAAGGCTGGAAAAAAAGCAATATACCTGTTTAAGCAGTCAGGCGGGAGTATTCCTTCTCCCTCAGAATTTTTTGTTCTAGTCAGGCCTTAAATTGATTGGATAAGGCTTATCTACATTAGGCAGGACAATCTGTTTTACTCAGTCTATCAATTCAAATGTTAATCTCATTCTGAAACATCCTCACAAACACACCCAGCATAATGTTTGGCCAAAAGTCTGGACATCCTGTGGCCCAGTCAAGTTGACGCAAATTAAGGATCACAGTCCGTATCTTAGTATTGATGTGAAGGTATTTATATGTTAGAGCAACAGCTATTTATTTATCATGTAACTTTTAAATCTTTTAGCAAATGCCTCATGTAAAATTTTTGAAGAAATATATATTGAATTGTACTGTTTCAGCCTCCACCTAACATATGGAATGAATATGTTTTAGGAACCCTTCTCCTGAGCGCTGGGTCCTTCTTTGGTCTTACTTTTCTTGTTAACAGACATTTCAAAACATGTATCAACATAATTGTTCTTAAATCTTTTCACTACTCGGAGGCACTTTTTTTTTTTTTTAAAGATTTTATTTATTTATTTGAGAGAGAGAATGAGAGAGAGAGCATGAGAGGGGGGAGGGTCAGAGGGAGAAGCAGACTCCCTGCTGAGCAGAGAGCCTGATGTGGGACTCGATCCCGGGACTCCAGGATCATGACCTGAGCTGAAGGCAGTCGCTTAACCAACTGAGCCACCCAGGCGCCCTGGAGGCACTTTTATATAGGCTATACTTTCTCCTAGTAAACGTCATTCCATAGGAGAGGAGCTGGGGGCCCGAGAAGGCCAAGTGCTTTGGCCATGGTCACATGGTGAAATAGAAGAGCTGGAATTCAGTCCTTTATTTTCTCTTTCCAGCGTTCTTTCCACTGTGCCAGGATCTATCTCTCTAGAGATAGATCTCTCTCTCACATACACACCACACACATGATTTTTTGCAAAGTTCTTAAACAAATGGAAACATTAAATAAATTAAGTAGTCAGTGAATGACATTCCATATATGGACTAAGGAGAGTGTGTGTCAGTGATCAATTATAGGTGTAACCTTCCAAAATCTCTAGGAATTATTGTTCCAGGCTACAAGCAGTATAACCTGACTTTTCATGGACTTTTCTTAAACTACTACATATTTTATCTTTATAGTGAAAATGGCACAATCTTAGTTTGCATAACATTGAATAAATTCCAGTTATTTAGGTTGGTTTAAGAAAGGTCCAATCGTTGCAAAGAGTTACATTAACTTCATTCACTCATTTATTCAGCACTGTTTACTGAGAACTTGTTATGTACCAGGTGCTGGATTTACCATTCTTTAACCCAAGAGACCTTCATAAGGTGGAAGGAGACAGCTATATACATAACTGGATCAGTTATTGAGGTGATGATATAGTTCAAATTAGA